ACTAAAATTATTCAACACAATTAAATCAATATAAACAAGCATATTTAAACATACAGCATTGGAATTATGAGAAAATATTATACAATTACTAATATATAATACTTTTTATTATACAATTATTATCATTACAATATTACAATTGTTCAAAAATATTTACAAAATAAATATAAAAAATATAAAGATAACAAATACAACAAATTATAAGTTAATCAAATGAGGCAATAAGGATTTTAAAAATTCAATAGTTCACAGAATTCATCGTATTCATCATATTAAAAAAATCAGTCATTCAATAACCGTATTGCAGAAGGAAGAGTTGAAATCGAATAACGGTTAGTCCTACATCTTAGGAACATTGTACTTCTTGAAACTACGTAAAAATCTGTTGGGTCTTGGGTTTTCAGAAATCCAACTATAAAACCGGGTAGATGTAACCAAACCCTTACTAAAACTGGCTAACACACCACATCGTCGTTTTTGAAGAGTTTCCATATTTAAATTGTTCAAAGTGTCTTGATAATCCGTGTACTTCCGGTAACCAATAATAATTTTTAAGGCTCGTTTCTGCACAAATTCCAATTTAGTACACTGTTGTTTCGTCAATGCAGAATGCCACAAAGGACTAGCGTACTCAAGCAAGGGACGTATATACTGTATGTAATATAGATAAACACAAGATCTTCAACAGGAGCACCATACCGTTTTAAAATATACAGCATGTATAGACGACGACAAGACTTAGTGATCATTTCATTAACTTGACAATCCCATTTCATATTTGCTTGTAAAAAGACACCAAGCAATTTAATAACCTCTTTCTCTTCTGGTAAGTATATGGGGAACTCAAGACAACCTTATCAAGACAGGATCTACCTCTAGTAGGAAAATTAACAACCTGTTCAAAGGATGTGTTGTAATAACGGATCAATGTTAAGGTCATTGAGGTCACCCAAAATACAGAAGGAAACATTATCTCTGGAACTTTGAATTTCATCAATCACAGAACATATGTGATCTAAAAGTTCACTTTGTTTATGGTAATAATAACGATATTTAAATATCAATTTTAATAACTAATTAGTGATCATATCGATATTGATGGTGATAATAACAATAATAATAAATTAAAGATAATGTTTATTTTTATAATAATAATAATACTAATTAGTAATAATAATAATAACGATACTTATAATACTAGGCCTACTTAGTAATAATAGGGTAATAATATCGATAATAAAGGTGACAACAACAACAATAATATTAATAATAATAATATGAGAAATATACCATTAAAACACCAATAACAGTAACTTTTTAAATTACTATTATTAAAATAATAATACTAAGACTAATAAATAATAATAATAATAAGAATAATAATAAATCGAAAATTATTTATTATTTATATGGTACTGTAATAATAATATCAGCAAAAATTTGAACAATATATAATGTTAATGCTAAGACTAATAATTAATATTAAAATGATGAATTACTCCTTCAAATTGTAGTACCAGTAAATGACTTGTGGCCGAGTTGACTTGTGGCCGAGTTGATTTGTGGCCGAGTTGACTTGTGGCCCAGTTGACTGTAGCCAAACTTTTTGTGGCCGAGTTGACTTGTGGCCGAGTTGACTTGTGGCCGAGTTGACTGTGGCCGAGTTGACTTGTAGCCGAGTTGACTTGTGGCCGAGTTGGATCGAATTTTTGGTTACGAGTTCTTTTGTTGAATACAGGTTAGCCAAAATGACGTGTGTATGGGTTAGCCTAGCTAGGCAGAAAGACGGGTAGGGTACTGGTTGACGTGGGCACGGGTTAGCCAACAGCACATTTGTACGCAGGCAGCCGGATTGATCGGCTACGGCTAGGACCTGGCCTATGTAGCATTTTAGGCCTATTCTAGGATAGGCTAGGCTAGAGGGTCTAGGAGGCCTAGGCTAGGCCTACTACTAATTAAGGCCTAGGCTAGGCCTGCTGTAGCTAGGCCCTATATAGTATACTGAGCCATCATTTTTTAGACTGTTAAATTTGCCTTAAAGCTATCGAACAGATCAAATATATTAAATTTAACAAAAGAAAAAAAAAGTGATTTACTTCTTTCTGCTTTGGATCTTGTGGATAAACATCTGGTGGTCCTAATCTCGGTCTTTTTAATGCTCTCCCTTCCTGATGCTTATACGACGCCATCGATTACGACAAAGATTCTAGAATACAAGATGATGATACTGCTGATAGAGTAGAGTAACATACAGACTATGGAACGCCCACAGTGCCTTCTGCGGCGCCTATAGCATTCGGCTGCGCGCCTCTTTACCATTCGACGCATTTGTTATGCAGCGGCGACATTTTCATTCGGCGCATTTGTTATGTGGCGGCGACTTTTTTATTCGGCGGCGACCCTAGCATTTGGCGACTTTAGCACTCGGCGGCTGAAGCTATACATCATTCGCCTAGCTAAATATTATAAGAACCACATTAATAACTATGTAAATAACTCTAAAGAAATGTGGCGAGGACTCAGGCAACCTGTGACGTCTAGCATAAATGTTCTGCCAGCTTCCATTACTGTTAATGGAGAGATTATTACTTCTGACGATGAAATAAGCAATTTATAATTATTTTATTAATGTACCATCTGAATTAGATCGGGCTAATTTATAATTATTTTATTAATGTACCATCTGAATTAGATCGGGCTCTTCTCCTTTTCACCGTTGTTGTTAATGATCTTGCTTTTATAACTAATCACAGCACAGTTGATTTCTATGCTGATGATACCGTTCTTTATTTTTCTCACACTTCAATTGATTTTATTAATGACTGTCTCTCTCAAGATATTGAATTAATTAACACTTGGCTTTTGGCCATAGGCGTAGATCCCGGGGGGATGGGGATGTATCCCCCAATATTTGACAAGGGGGATGGTCCATTGTATCATCCTTCAATATTTTGACTATGTATGGGATAAAATGGAGCTTTACACACTTCAAAAGATCAGACTGTTACAGAAATAATTTGCACTGTCTTATGCACTTACAAAGATGAAAATTAGCATAATGTATTAATGTTGATAACAAAATTATTTTATCTGGTACCAATCTAAGCTCTTCTTTCCTTAGATGTTAGATGTGCTTGCAAAGAGAGCCATATTTCACACTGAAGGGTGTGTACATCAGTATTGTTATGTCAATTCCAAGAATGTTTAAGGTTAGGCCCTATATCAGTTGATGAGGAATTTATTGATTAGGCCTATAATAGCAAATTGCATCAATTTATTTTTGCATGCAAAAACAAGGTTCCCAGCTTTACACATCCCCTGTCCGCACAATGGCACATATTGGCGCTAAAACCAGGCGCGTAGTCAGTGGCGTCGAGAGGGGGAAGGGGTCGCTGCCCGGGGCCTGGGTCTACTGGGGGGCCCGGACCAAGATGAACAATTTTCGGGGTAAGAACAAAATCTCCATAGGGCCCGAGCCCAAGCCAGGATGAAAACTTTGTTGTCAGATTTAGGAGAAGACTTAATTTGGGGAGCAGCCGAGTGGGGGTCCCAAGTGAAGGGGAGCCAAATGTGAGGTGTCGCCCCGGGGCCCTTACTGGCTCTCGACGCCACTGATAGGGGTCTTGGGTCAGAGTGGGTATTTATTTTACCGGTTAGTATTTTACCACACCCACCCAACCCCACTCCCCATAGAAAACAATATGACATAGGGCTTATCTTATTTATAATATAGGCCAAACACGTGTGTTTGAAACTAAATATAAGCATTTTCATCATGGTTTTATTTATTACAAACATATTCTTTCACCATCAATACACATTGAGGCCCCTTTTTTTGGTTAAAACGATCTATCTTAAATTTGTCTTTTTTGAGTTTGGGACTATTAAGTGTCTAAATAACTTAAAAGGATAAACCTAAAAAAGCCCTGAAAAATTCTAATTTCGTCGGAATTGATGAAAACTCCCTAAAATGTGCAATTTATAGAGGAAATTGGTCTACCGCCGTAACAAGAAATGCGCGCAAAGAATTTGAGAATTTTAGGCATTTTCAGAGGTTGCATTTGTCAAGGGGTGGGGAAAGATTTTCCAAAGATGGATATTTTCCCCTTGTCCCCCGGTGTTTTTAATTCTAATTTCGTTGGAATTGATCAAAACTCCCTAAAAAAATTTTAGAGGAAATTTGCCCATGTTAACAAGAAATGAGTGCGAAGCGCGCGAAATTTGAGGTTTTTAGGCACTTTCAGGGAATGAAAAGGGCATTTATAAAGTGGTGGAGAAGATTTTCCAAAGATAGATATTTTCCCCTTGCCCCCCCCCCACCCCAGTGGTTACGCCATCGGGCAGCATAGATCAAAGGAGTTATGACAGTTTTTGAAGTGGAGAAGGGGGAGAAGGGGTTGCAGGGTGTTGTGAGTCTGGTCATTATGATATCTTCCTTTTTATTCTTGTCTTTATTTTTCTCTTCTCTTTTTCTTTTTTCTTTCCTTTTCTTTTCCTCTTCTTTCTCTTTCCCTCCCTCTCCCTTATTTCTTTTCTCTTATTACCCAGCCCGGTACGACGGCTTGGTCAGCCCGGTAAAAACCGTCAGGGGAGAGGCAGTTTTCCCCTCCCCCGCACCTGTTACGACACTGGCTAACACACCAATCACCCCTCCCCCAATGAAAAATACTTTTCTACGCCACTGCTTTTGGCAAACAGACTAACTATTAACATTGACAAAACTTAAGCTTAACTGGCAACAACATGTAAGCTTAGCTCCACTCATATTTTAGCCCGAATTCGAAAATTTTTAGACCAACGTAGGCCCTACTGCACTTTTACTTTACAAAACCCTTATACTTCTCACACATTGACTACGGTGATCTTCTTCTACTGTATTTACCTTTCTTTGATGATAAGTCACTGACTCTCAATCAACCCGCATACATTAATCAACTTCTTTCCAAATATGTGCCTGGCCGTTCCCTACGTTCATCTGATCTCAATTTAATTTCTGTCCCTCGCACCAACACTAAGACCTTCGGACACCTGTCTCTTATACACATCTAGATGTGTATAAGAGACAGGCTTTAGGCCACCCCATGTTTTAGGCCCCCTGTCATATTTTTTAACCCCCTTGTATGACTTTTGGACCCCCTGTTGGAAAAACAGCTAAAAAGTAAACGTAAGTAAACAGCCAGAAATAGAACCAGAGCTTTCGGACAACACTAGTCCTTCCTCAGTGGCGAGTGAGTGAGTGAGGTATATATATATATATATATAGAAAATCGTCATTTGACATTTTACCTCAGCCTCAATTTGTTCTTATTTTGTTCTTAAATATATACTATCTGTCAAACACAAGACATCTTTTTGGCTTAAAATCAAAATTTCAATTGATCAATTTGTTTATATAATAAAGTTATTACATTCAGTCGAAAACCGCATCAAAAACGACACCCGAATACCCAATTAACAAACGAATTAGTTGGGTATGAAAATGCCGTTAATAGTTTTCGATCGGCCAAGAAATGTTAATTTAAATTTAGCGCATGCTCATTACAAAATTGCTTGTCGCTTGAGATTGCGTCAACAGTCCTTCCTTCTGTTGACGCGTATGAGCGAGGCCAAACGGGAAGTTCCCATGACCAAGGTAATTTAATTTATTCGGTGTAAACACAGGATAGCCCACGGTTTGGGGTTTTGTGGGTTTTCTGCTGGCGTGGAAAGAATATCTCTGTTCTATGTCAAAACATTAATAACTTCATCCTAAAATTGAATCCTGTTGTCAAGCCACGAGCAACGGCAACGGGAGAGGGGGAAGGGAAGGGGGTTTCCCCCACTTTTTCTACTTGGGGGCCTCCCCCCCTCCCACCAATTTTGTTACTCTTTCCAACCCCAGTGACAAACAACGCTGCAATGTCATTATTGTTATTATTATTATTATTATTATTATTATTATTATTATTATTATTATTAATTATTATTATTATTATTATTATTATTATTCATTATTATTATTCATTATTATTATTAATTATTATTATTATTATTATTATTATTATTATTATTATAACTGATTGGCTTACAGTAAACCTTAAAACTAGCGTAATATAACCACATTTAAACTCTAACGAAAACAATAAAATACTTAATTAGGCCATTTTCTAAAATAAAGTTCTCTAAAGGTTAACTACAGAATTTACAGTACACTTAATGTGTTATAGGTTGTAAAAACTGTATTGAATAAAAAAAAATCTTTCGAATAAAAAAGATCTTTCGCTTGACATTAGGAATTAATCATTTGTGAAACAAAATGATAGGCTACGTCACGTGTTATATTGAACAGTGGCAGATTCAATGGGGAACCCAGTCAGCACGAGACCCCATCCTCCTATTTTTTTTTTAAATTAAAAAAAAAAGTTGAGAAAATAGACAAAATTGTATGCAATTTTTAATCCGAGAGTGCCATTTCCGGCCATCTAGAGGTGCCATAATCATATTTTTTTTCTTACCTCAGCCCCAACGGTTGTGGGGCTGAGGCGGGTGGACATTCTATTTGCGCAAGACCCTACCTGAAAACCCTCTATTTCGACTTCCTGGACCAGCCACAGTTGGAGTATCATTTCCGGGCTACATAGAAGGGTATATTTTAATCCATCGGTGGAAAAGTGAAGTTTTCGTTGGGGAACCCATATCAAGGATAACCCTCATGATAAATAATCCATTGAAGTCGTGGAAGCAATCCCGAAATTCGACTTTGTTCGGAAATCTGTGGCGCGTTCTAGGGGGGGGGGGGGGGGGGGGCTAAATGTGAGGGCTAAATTGTTCTTTATTTTTAATGGAGATGTAAGGAAAATTTATTCAAATTTTAAGTCTGAGAGTGTAAATTCCGGCCATCCATAATCACAAATTTTCTTACCCCAGCCATGGTGGGACTGAGGTGGTATAGATTCTCCATCTGCTTTAGTACCCAATGGCGGATTCAAGGGGACCCAGCCGGCCCGCCCTTACCCCCCCCCCCCGTAAATTGTTCAATAGAAAAATGGAGATATAAAGATAATTATATTCAAATTTTATGTCTGGAAGTGGAATTTAAGGCCATCTGGAGGTGCCATAATCACTAATTTTCTCCTCTCTGAGCCCTTCTATTTCGAATTCCTGGATCGGCCACTAAATTACAACAAATATGAAATCATATTACAGTAGCTTGATGCCTATAAAATAACTTCACCAAACTTCGTAAAATAT